AATCGTAATGTCTTTGTTCGCCATCTGATAAATGGAAATATTGATATATATATATATTCTCCAGATAAGTTTTGGGCATAAGAATTTTATGTTTTGTTTTTCACTATAACGGAAAAAGTTTGTGTATTTCTATAAAATAAATATTAACAGTATTTTGAATCATGTTTAGTTTTCTTGTAGACCACAAGAGTTGTTTTTCACATTGATATTGACTCCTTTTAAACTAATTTACTATTGTTGTGTCAGCGAGGTCACGTGACTAGTATCGCGCCACGTACTTCTCGAACCTTCGTGAATTATCGGGAGACTACTAGATTGGGGGTAGTTGGTATATATAAGATGGTCACAACGTGACGGAACAAGGAATAATTAAACTGAGTATTATTGAACTTGAGCACGTGAGAAGTTTGTTGTTATAGCGCGACTGTTGAAATTAAGTGTATCGCATAGTTATATTCAGAAAGAATAAACCAGTTTTATTTAAGAAAGGACTTGTGTCGCTAAAGTTTCGTCGGAACGAATTTACGGAAAATTAACTAACGAACAGAGACGTAACAGTATGTTTAAAATTTATAACATCGAATTTACTGTTTTTTATCTGTACCGTGTAGGAGTATTAAGGGTGCTAAGCAACTTATTTTATCTGTTGACTTGTCTTTTCACACTTTACGCATATACTGAACAACACTTTTTCCTTTATGATCAAAAACAATAAGCTCTTTTTAGCCATTATAGCTTTTCCAAGAAATATACCTATACATTGACATGTGTTCTTTAATTCTACGTTCCAGATAATACCACAGTTTTTGAGAAATCTAGTAGAGCTTTTAAAAGGTTGTTGCTTAGGTACACTAGACTAAGCGTAACGAAAACTACTTCTACGAGAAGTACCATGTTTAATATATATACATATATATACATGTTTTTCATCAACATGATTTACATATGCATCTAGGTTCTTCAATGAAAAAGAAATGTATATGCTTTGGTGGATTTATCTTTGTTTTTAATGTACCTACGTTGTTTATAATCAATACTTCGCATATTCAAAAACAATTTGGATGCCGCTTGTGAATGTTTTTAGTGTAATCACGCATGAAGATAAAAGATTATCAGACTTGTTATGTGTTCTTATTATGACTACTAGTTTCTAAGCAAGTATCGTATATTTTTTGTCTAAACATAATATATAATTTTTCCACTAAAAGTTTTAAAACATGCTAGATACCATTTAGTTTTTATTACGTTTTTGTTTTGTTCAGTCGTGTTCATTAATAAAAGCCCCCCAGTGGCATGTCTGCGGACTTACAGCGCTAGAATCCGGGTTTCGATACCCGTGATGGGCAAAACACAGATAGCCCATTTTGTAGATTTGTGCTTAGTTACAAACAAACATTAATTAAAAGCCACGACTATAATTTACCCCATGATTTTGCGCTCTATCTTAGTTGACGTAATTCTCATCTGATATTATTTTTAATTAAAGCAACTCGAAAGCTGAAAGTCTTGCGAGGCCCTGTTTTAACAAATGATTTCCAGTATACTTGTAACGAGAAACATTTTCGAGATCATAGAGAAAGTTATCTCCTTTTTAATGACCTTGAGCTTATAGCGTTACAACCGTCTGTATCTGTACGCATTTGTAGTGTGAATGCACCTTTTCATGTGCGTAGTAGCCGTTAGAAGCAATCAAAATGAGGTTGTTAAACTTATGTCTCCGATCTCTAGTGTTCTTAACCTTTATTAGTAACGGAGTGATGTAATTTCTTCAAAAAATTCTGTTTTTGTCTATAGCATTTACTGCTTGTGCCGTATGTGTTTAAAGCCGAAGTTGAGGCGTATAGCTTAAACGTAGGAGTGAATGGTAGATTACACAGGACTGCGAATTTAAACTTCATAAAAGTTGCTTCAGTTTTAATAATGGATTTTTCATAATTAAGCTACGCAGATTTCGAAAATAATATTCTTTTTTTTCTATCACGTAAGGATTTTTTACAAATCGGGAATTTAAAAAAAAAACTTGTTTAGATCAAATTATTATTTCATTTACCACAATGAACATTTTTTATTATTATGTTTATTAACAAAAATACAAACAAACTGAAGAAAAGGGAAGAACATTGATGTCAAATGAATATGCATCCTCATTCATCCTGAATTTTTTGTTTACTTTTCGTCTTTTAGTCTCAAACTACGTGTTGTGGTCTATTTTTTATGTATTGTGTCTGGAGCATCTCGTTTCAATGACCAGCAGTAATCAGCCATCATGCTGCTGTTCCACCTTCACCGATTCCTCCTCTCCATTTCCCTGATGTCTTGATGAAGCCTTTCCCAATGTTCTTCCATCACAGCAATGATATTTTCAGGGAAATAGTCAATATGTGAGTGTAAAAAATGAACTTTCAAGCTCATATTACAACCCAACTCTTTGAATTTATCGAGCATGTTATTGACAATATTTTCGGAATTTGGAACCTTGTTGTTTCCTAAAAATTTGTCAATAACATCTTTAAAGGCAATCCACACTTCTTTTTCAACTTTCCTCATTGTCCTTTCCACCTGTTCATCTGAAGTCAATTTCCTAATCTGAGGTTCAACAAAAATCCCTTCTTTAAGTTTCACTTCTGAAAGAGCTGGGAATTGCCCACATAGGTACTTGAAACAGTTGCTATCTTTGTCTAAGGCCATTACAAACTGCTTCATCAAGCCCAATTTTATGTGACGTGGAGGAAATAGGACTTTATTTGTGTCAACCAAACTTTCACATTCAGTGTTTTTCGATCCTGGTTTCAGGCTGACTCTGCATGGCCATT